TCTTCCCCTCCTGCTGCTGCTTCTGGGCTGCAGCAACATCCGCTGGCAGCGCAGGGACGGCTCCAGCCCTATGGACTGGACTGCCCCCCTTAAGCATTAAGTTGAATTGGTTAATTGACTGAACTGGTTAACTAACTAAACAGGAGTTTGTCCCTAGTCTGTTGGCATACCTTGCAATCCTTTTTTTTCTTTTAAATCTAGATATATAGAAATATTTCCAAGTCGGAGGAGTGAAGTTCGAACCCATAGCGGTTTATATAGAGGGAAGAAGATGACTACATATCCGAATGCTAAACCGATAAAAGAAACCGAATCAGTCTTTGAAGAAAACGAATTGAGTCAGACCCTTGGACCAGCTGCAGCTTGTGAAAATGAAAAAGAAAATGGTGAGTTCTTGTTGCATTTGTTCTTTGAAGCATCTTTGCATATACACTTCTCTGCAGCAGTGGTGGGCACCCCATTGGGGCAAGGTTGACAGATTCTGCTGGTTTCCATCTACGTGGTTTTTTCCTGCCAATTTTGTTAGTGACATGCACAAAGCAAGGGCATGTGAAGTGAGGTGTATGTTGATTGCACACAACATTGACTCTGAAAGCCATGTGCTCCTGCATCCAGTCAAATGCTGCTATGGTTCAATCAGCACACCCTGCAGATTCTAGGTATGCAGGTGCAGTTAGCAAAGCTACTTTATCCCAGGAGGCCATCTTGGCGATAAAAATCTTGCAGCCCCTTCAAGAGTTTAGGTCGGGGTAGCCAACCCGTGGTTTGTGAGCTGCATGTGGTTCTTCTAAGAAAAAATTGTGGCTCCCCCACCCGTGGCTCTTCAAGGGGTAGCACGTTTGTCTGAAAGACAGAGACAGAGTTGTGGTGTCCTGTGCAGAATTCAAAATGGCCGCCCTCAAAGGGCAATGCCCATCACTGATCTACACTGTGAATGCATATGTATACATAGTTTTTGGAAGAGCATAATGTCCCAAGTACTAATGATGCTGCTTTTGTTCACCTGTGTAGAACCTTATAGAGAAGTGATTGAAAAGCCTCGGGATGCTTCAGAATTTGTGATTACCTCCTCATCGTTGCATTTGGTCCATCTGAGGGGTCTGCCATTTCAAGCTAGTGCCCAAGACATTGTAAATGTGCGTTGCAGTAAGATCAAGAGAATATACAGCACTGGTGACAATTTAAGCTCTGATTACACTTCAAATCCTATTAACACTTTGTGTTGTAAATATTTTAATGTTACCTAATTTCCAAAGGGTTTGCTTGTGAAAACTGGGGATGGTCTACAAAGAAGTGGAAGGCCTAGATTCGGGCACACTGTACAGGATTGTAAGGGGGGGAGCAGAAATGATCATAATGGGAATGTTTGGATACAACAGCTTCAGTAGCTAATTAACAACTGAGAGGACCTGTAAGGATTTAATGTAACTTTTGGTAAATGCACATACAATTTCTGCTTTAAAGTGTGAAATTCCCACTCTTAAAAATATCTTCTATTTGACTTGGGGTATCTGAGGCTGTAATGCCAGTCATTATTCCATAGTTGTCTTTAGTCCTGCATTTTGTTTAGAGCTAAGGGGCTTTAGCTAGATTGGTATGCCACTCGGGTAGGCACTGTTCAAATGGTCTATTCTGAATTGCTGCCGGGCCTTTTTTTTTTCCTGATAAATTATTTGAGCTAGTACTGCTGTTAGCATAAGGCCAGAGCATGAGGGAATGGTGAAACTAAATTCCAAGGGCAGCAAGAACAGCTGAGCTTCATTCGGAATAAAGTTGTCACAAACAAAACAGAATGAGAAGAAAGCATTGTAGTCTATCTTGTATGTGTTTTTAAAGGAGAGCTATGTGAACAAATTTTTACAAGAGCTTAAGGCAAACCACTGGGGACCAGTGCTGCTGTGTACATGTTCTTGCTAGATCTTTTAATCAAATCTTATTTTAAAATTGAATGAGTTTGATAAGATTTGTCAAATATAATCAGCATATGTCCTCATGTTAAGATAAGCATGGCTTTGCAGTGCTTGCTGCTGATTGTTTTGAGGAAGTACTTGATTTTTTTTTTGTGGTGAGAAACAAAGTAGAACACAGTTTATGACATGGAGTTTATTCTGACACAGGGCACTTTTCCATGTGAGATGGTATATGTTGAGGCACACTAGCAGATTTAGTCTAAAGCCATGATGTCCAACCAGTTCTGAAGCAAACTTGTAGAATTGAACTATATATATAGCTTGCTTCCTTTTAGTTTGACTCTTGCCTGATTAGAGTCAAACTAGCCCCAGACTTGATCTTTCACTTAAGGTTTGTTTTTTGTTTAGTTTTTTGCTCCACTGAAACCTGCAAAAATCACTATGGAATATAATTCTATTGGCAAAGCTACAGGAGAAGCAGATGTATATTTTGAGAGTCACGAAGATGCAGTTGCTGCTATGGTCAAGGACAGATCACACGTGCGTAAGTAGTGCTTGCATTTTTTTATTGAACCATGTAGTTCCAGTCACCTGGAACATCATGTGAGGACTTAAGCCATCTTCTGATTATGTAGTGCAAAAGTAACTTTGAGTTGTTCAGGCCTGAAAAACTCGATAGTGCATGGAATAGTCACACTGAGTAGACATTTTTTGTTACTCAAACTTTACAAACAACATTTTAAATTATTCCCCAGAACATAGATATATTGAATTATTCCTGAATTCATCTCCAAAAAGAAAACAAGAGAACCAGTGACAATGGCACAGTCCCAAACTAGGTAAGTGTATTAACTCTTCTTCCCCCATAATACATGCTATTCCCAAAGATGGACAATTTATCCCTTATCTCACATGGTTATTTGTACCAGCGTCTGTATGCGGTACTGTAGCAGTTAAAAACCAGTAGAGTCTAAAATATTTAAGATACCTAAAAGTTAATCTAAATGTATAATGAATTTCTCAATGTCTTATTTCAGGCATCCAAATAGAACACTTTCACTCTTATTGAAAACATTCTTAATTAGGGTCTGATCCAACTTCATTAATGCAGACAACACTTAGAGTATGACAGAACTGAGTGGGATGTTTTGGCACATCACTTGATAACTGGACAGAAACTTACAGGACTATCTAGTTAGGCAATGAACTTATGTAAGAATTCAGGTTTTAAATTTGTGTGTGTGTCTACAACCAAAATCCACTAATTCTGACTACTATAGAAGGTATCGTGAAAATGTAGGGTCATAAGGAGTTTCAGTTGTAGAACCAATTTTTGAGAGTTAAGTGAAAAATGTATTTACTATTTCCGCAGCACTGGAGTGCGATGAGATGCAAGACTTGTAACCTGTGATTGCATTTGAACTAGCTGACATGTTAAACATTCAGTCTTGATGACATGGGAGAAATGTTAACATAATGGAACTGGACAGACTAGAGAATTTGAGGGAGACACTCTTGACTTTTTTTGTTTCAGCTTTCTTAGAGTCAAGTGTGGTGTTACCACTGGCTTGGATAAAAATGTGTTTGCTCAAGTAAACATCTTGTAAGGCTTTTAGTCTTCCTTAAAGTCCACATTGTGGCTGACCTTGGACTGGTGAGTCTAAAGACCACGTGTCAGAACCAATGCTTTGTTCTAGCATTGAAGTGGAAGAAAGCAAGATGCTCCACAGGCACGTGAAGTTTTGGATCATCTGAGCCAAGAAAAAGGGACAAGAGGAAACATACACACTTGAAGTTGTTGCTAATTAAAGCCTATTTAACTTGAGGCTACTGTTCTGCAGGGGGAGAGTTTTTGGGCTACAGGGCTCTTGACAACTGCAGATTCTTCCCTTAAGTGTCTTCTGAAGAATATACATTTTGACTTCAGTGTTTGAGTAGAAATTTAGAATATTCCACACATAAGAGTACGCCCCCCCCATCCACTTTTAGTCCATCTGTAGCAAATGCTGAGGAACATGGAATCCTCTGAGGTGCTACATTAAGTTGGAGGTAAGGGGTTTGTTGTTTCAAGGCTTTAATATTTGTTTTGCCAGGTGTAGCAGACTTATCCCACCTCTACTACTGCTTTTGTTACATAAGAAAGCGGTAAATGTTCTACCCATGCAGGAGTGTTTAGTATCATCTGACCTGTTCAATCTGTATGGTAATGAGCACTCCTGTTGAAATGGGGTTAATTTGCAGAGCATGATTTAGTTCAGCTCTGTGCTTGGATCTCCTCCAGTTCATCAGGGTTCTCTGAGTACTTGATCTATACCATTTTAAAACGAGTTGCTCATTTCAGGTGCCTTAATTTAGATGAGCTGTGAACAGCACTCAGTGCTTAGGAGTTGTTCACAGAGAACTTGTCAAACATGACAAGGGGAAGGGTGTTGAGGTTAAAGGGGGGAAAGTTAGCATTTCCTAGACAAGAGTTTCTGATACCTAAATCACTAACATTCTTTCCCTTTCTTTTCAGGATAAAACAAGTGCTTCATTTACTCATCCTTTTTGGAACTAGAAAACAGGTGCTCCGGTGCAGTAGCAAGGATAAATCATAAAGGACATCTTGTTTTTTGAAAGGCAATTCAGAATCTGTATCTAAAATTGTTCAATATGGGTTTGCGTAGTGAAGTGCACAATAAATTGTGTTCACACTGGAATTTGTCTGTAAACAGAATAAAGGTGATCAAACTGTTCTTGTATTACAGTATAGGCCATGGTAAGTTCCAGTTTAAGGTTGTGGTGCCTGAGAAATATACTATGTACATTACTATTGAGCAGCTTACTTTTGACATTAGCAGTTCTAGCAATAGTTGAGCACCATCTGAATGACAAAAAAACCCTAACTACCTCAATTTTGCAAAATTTTAAGACCCTAGTAAATGCAAAAGCATGGCAGTGACTGGAAGAGAGTATAACACAGTAATACACGGTACTGCAAAGAGGCATCAATACACCTACATTTAGCCCTCAACTCAGGATGCACTTGGTTGCTGGGGAAGCACTGGAAGTCAGGGATGTCGTAACTCAAACCTTCATTTATGATAGGCACTGTCAAATGCAGGCTGAGGACAATTTTTTTGGGGGAGGGGAAGGGGGTTGGCCTGGCCCAGCCCCAAAAGTGGTTGTAAATGTGGGGGCTGAGAACATGGGCGATGATATGCCAGGGGTTTCCTGTACTTGTAATTCATCTCAACTTTCAAACGGACAGTTTAAGGGTACTGTGTGTTCTGACATGGGAAGTGCTAGATTGGCATAGCTGCCAGAGTAATTCTGTTGGTGGGAGACTTTTACTGACATGCTGATGTGGACAGGGCTTAGGCATGTTGCTCCAGGTGGTTTTTCACATGGTGGAAGGATGCAAGTGAGCCTTGTTTTCAGCTGTTTTTTGGAGGAGTTCACTGGCATTTCATGCTTATCACCAGGGCTCGCCCAACAGCAGCAAGCCCTGCTTGCTAGCCATGCTGTCCAGCGAGCTGCACAAGCGCAGATCGTTCTGCGCATATGCAGATTACCTGAACCCAGCTGTCGAGCCCTGCTTATCACTGTATCTGCTGTGGTGATAGGCTCATAGACTATGTCTAGACTGGCATGATTTTCCAGAAATGCTTTTAGCAGAAAAGTTTTCCGTTTAAAGCGTTTTTGGAAAAGAGCGTCTCGATTGGCATGGACGCTTTTCTGCAAAAGCACTTTGTGGAAAAGCGTCCGTGGCAATCTAGACGCGCTTTTCCGCAAAAAAGCCCCGATCGCCATTTTCGCAGTTGGGGCTTTTTTGCGGAAAACACAGCTGAGCTGTCTACACTGGCCCTTTAGCGCAAAAGTTTTGCACAAAAGGGACTTTTGCCTGAACAGGAACAGCATAGTGTTTCCGCAAAAACACTGAATCTTACATGAGATTGTCAGTGCTTTTCCGGAAATTCAAGGGGCCAGTGTAGACAGCTGGCAAGTTTTTCCAGAAAAGCAGCTGATTTTCTGGAAAAACTGGCCACTCTAGACACAGCCATATGGTTTCAAAGGGACAGGTAAGTGGTAGAGGCTAAACTAACCTTACACAAACAGCTGTTTAATCTGTTGTCTTTACTGTGTAATATGGAGTTTTTAAATATCTCCTGGGGTACTAGTGGAAACGGTATCAAGCTCATTCTGAGCTACAGTACCAGTAAAATAAGGTCATTACAATAAATAGGTATGTGCACAAAAGTGAAATGAGGGGGTGCATATGTAGGTCTGTATTCAGAGGTAACAACCAATGCATTTCAGTGAAAGGGCTACTTTCCCCATAGTGATGCATTTAACAACTCCTCAGTTTACTACACAAGAATCTACTGGACAAGCAGAAAAGTATTTTAAACAATTTTATTTTGGTGAAGAACCGGTAGAAAACACTTTCCCACCTGCCCTTTAGTTTTCAGGGTTATACCTACAAACAAAAATAGATCAGAGATGCTTACATTTATTACCTTAGGTGGTAGAGTGAATACAGTAATGTCACAACCATTGCATTTACAAGTCCAATACTGAGGATGACAGAGGCCATATTGTAATTCTGACTCTCCATTTAAGTTGCACTTACACCTGTAACTAACTCATTTGCTACAATGTTGATTGCAAAGAGTTGGTCACTTATGACCAAGTTCTGAGTTTCCTATCTTGCTTTTTGAAACATTATGTAAAAGTGGTGGTAGCAATTTTCCTGTTTCAGAGTCTAAAAGGTTTAAAAAGTAACTGGAGAATAATCTATTTGAGCTTCTAATCACACTCTAGAGACGTGTCAGTATTTATACATTAAAATTAAATACTATGTTTCCAGTTTAACATTCAAATGCTTAAATTTGTTTCTAGTCTGACTAGCAGAAAAACAAAACCAACTCAACTAGCAGATTAAGTTCTGTAGCTTTGTGAGCATTACTAAACATACACCCTGCAAAAGCAATCAACCTCACCTTCAGGCTAAGATTAGCCCAGTATCTTTTCCAGTGCTGCAAGAGGGCTGTCCATGACTTTTTATTGGTGATCTTGTCTCTTCCTGGAAAAAAGGTTCACTTTATCTCCCACTCAGATTCCAAACACAAAGCTATTTTACCTCTTAAGAATTAAAAACTTAATGCTTCTAAAGTTACCAATTGCAGGAAAAGATCAGATATTTACTATTCTTACAAGAAAACTTAATAAAAAGCACTTCCAGTTGAACTTGTAATGTATTCCTTTGTTCCCCCTGCTTTCCTGAGTTCCATTCACTCGCTGTTGTTGGTTGGCTTATGTGAAATAAGCCTAGCTAGCTCCTTGCACTCAGAGGGAGACCCAGACTAGATTATACGCTCATCACCCTCACTGGCTCAGGAAAGTGGCTTCAACTCTCAATGTAGTTCTAACATTTAATTTGCATATAATCACTTTTGGAGGAACAGGTTTTCTAACTATAGATTTGTACAAAAATTAATGCAACGCTCCCCAACAGATATAAATATATATGTCTGTTTTCTAAAGATTATAATACATTCTGTGGTCTTAATGGTTTAGTTTATTTGAACTACATCTTTCTCTTTATGGAGGAATGTGTACCAGTATTTGTGATTTTGCTGTTTAAACATGGTGGCACGAGGGGAGGCCAGAGCCCTCTGTACACTTCAGAAGGAAGGTGTCACCTTTTGTTGTAGCACAGAAAGTCTCAGTTAAGGCTTCTATGTCAGGTTATCTTTCTATGAAAACCATAAAGCCTATTTGAAAGTGAATTTCACATCAGCACCTCTGAACCCCGTGGTAGCAGCCGCCACTTCGTGTGGCTAAAAAAGTCATAAGTCTAACATGACTAAATCTTGGCTGTTTGAATAACAGCTATATTATGCCAGTGATTCATGTGCACTGTATTTGCAGGAGCAGTACATCACTGTACAAACATGCCCCCAAATATTCTGTTTAAAGGAAGACCAGTATTTTTTCCATTTAAATATTTTGGAATCAAAATCCTGATTATCAAATCAAGACAGAACAGGTTTATGGACTTTAGAATGTCACAGCTTCCATAAGTCACAATGAAAGCCTCCACTACAAAGTTCAGAGGCCTCTGTTTTTACAACAAAATAAGCTATATTTAAATAATATTTTGCTATGAGAACATTCAAGCATACTGAGCAAAATGGTTGCTATTCAATTCTCATCTCACTCAAACAATAAAATAGCCCCCAAATATTTTTAAATCTTTCCTTTCAACTTTTAATGTTTTACTCCACATGCCTAAACAAGACCAACTGAGCACTGAATTAAGTAAATCCCACATTTATTGCTCAGCTCTTTCGTGCAATTTCTCTCTTAACTGGAGCATCTCAGTTCAACAGAACTAGAGAAGACAGAAAGGAAAAAGGAAAGTGTTTCAGGCAGAACCACGCAAGCTGGTGAAAGTACCTTCTCATCTTTTCAGTTATCAGTTTTGTTCCATTTTACCTTCCAACAAAGTGCTTAACTGTACTGGTGTTTGTGCCTCTTGCCATAGTATTAAGGCTTTTCTGAACAGTTCTTTAGAGCAGCTCATGCCTGAAAATGGGTGTGTTTTCCTTAAGGAAGGCTCAGGTCAGTATTTTAAGTTGACAGTTGTGACAATGTGAGTACAATAATGTACTTTCCTTGACCTCGCAAGTACAGAGATAAGAGATTCTTTGCTATAAACTCGCTAGAACAGCCCCAGAGCTGAGCATAGCTACAATATTTTATAGCTGCACCAAGCCTTGAATGGTCAGCAATGTCTCGTGTGGAGTCCTACAATGGGCTTGTTGAATACTGCTGCATCAGCTGTTTGTGACACATGTTGCAAACACACTCTGGCTTGATGCTGGATGGAAGGGGCAGTTCATTAGCTGAACAGGTGTCACAGAAGACTCCACCACAATTCTTGCAGATGTGAGGAACAAAAAAATGGAAACTACTGTTAATGAGATGGACCCCATAACATGACACAAAGTGTTTTCTCACTAACATTCACTTGGCCAAAAGACTATACTTTGTCTTTGCAAAGGGCACCTGAAGCTATAATTCCTCACCCATCACTAGAGAGTACCTGTTGTACCCCTCCTCCAACCTTTGAGGGACAGAAGTATTTATCTCCAAAGGACAAGAACGTTACTTCTGCAAAGTTTGTAAAGCCAGAGTGTAAAAATCAAAACCAGGACTTCATCTCAACTCCTTGAACAGGCAAATCTCCCAGACTCTACCCAGATGTGATTTTGACAAGTCAATTTAAGCAATCAATATGTAACACAAAAAAATCAAGTGCCGTCCAGTCAGAACGCAGCTACACAGGAAACCATAGTTTTGGGACACTGAGGAAGGAAACATAATTAGGGCTCCATTTTCTCAACCTGACTGAGGCCCATTCTATGGCACTATTTCTGTTATGAAAGGAGATGGAGAAGGTGAAGAGGTGGGTGATACAAGAAAAGGGAGCAGAGGAGAAGAAACAAGCATAAAGGAAGGTGGCAGGAAAAATAAAATGAGAATGTGTTCACATGCTCACTACTAACTGGCAGAGATTGGCAAATTTAAGGAAGGGAGAGGGCTGATTGTGCTCATAGGTGTGGATGAGGGCAGCATACCCGCAATTACTATTCTCCAGTGTCAACAGAGGCATAGGGGTTCCTAAGCCCTTGTTGCTTAGCCTTGTCCTAATGGGAAGTGGGCAAACATTTATTTCCTGGTACCCATGTAATTAAAAAGAAATCTACTTTATCAGCTTTTTTTAAAATTAGAGGGACACATGCCACCAGGCTGACAGACACACATAAACCTCCCCTGAAACTACCTTTATTTTGATGAGGCTGCCTTCTTCTTGGCACAGCTGACATAGTTGTGATTTCCCAGGTCCATGTGAGAGTTCCTAAATCATTAAGAAAACAAACAATTGTTCAACATTAGTGCTGGCATCTGCTACCCTCCACCACCCTTTCAAGGCAGCTTTCCATTTTCCTAGTTAATTTGCAGCACAGTTGGAATCAGCCTGCAGGAAGCATTGATCTGTGCACACAAACAGGACCTCAAACCTTTCAGAAAACCACAAGACTAACTGCTTGTCTGGAAAGTAGTATTTAACTCTGGCCAGTCAGCTTCCAGAATCCACATCACTGGGTGTAACCGACTCCCTGAATATTGGCTTCAGTCACTGGGTACTCCAAGCACGAGTCCTAGAGTGCCCAAAGCCAGAGTGAAAGGGCTCACTGCAGCAAACCAACAAGGCTGCTGGGGACGGACGGACAGGAAGGACCAACCCTGCCCACCTGGCAGGGCTCCTGGTCATTTGAAAAGCAGAATCCCAAGAGAACTGGTGCAAATGGAGACTGCTTCAGTCCCCGCTTGCACGGCTTTTCACCATGTCTCTACCTCCCCTGCAAAGATTGCGGGGCGGAACCAGCTTTTAAAATGGTTCCCCTCAGCACTGGCTTCTGTTCCTACTCCTTGCTGCCTCTCTGATAGAGGCACTAGTCTCTTACATTCCTAGCCGGGAAGAACACAGCTTGACATTCAGTGTCCAGACTGAGTCTGCAAGCATGGGGCTGTGGGCACATGCTTCAAATTAAACCAGCTTTCTGTGTGTAAATCAGACCACCTGACTGCCCCTGAAGTCACTCGTGCAGGCAGAATATGGAACTTGCATGTCTTTCTCAATCACTTTTCTGATCCTAACTGTGCTTTACCAGAAAAAGACTCAGTTTTGATAGTGAATCTCTTCAGGGTGCATGGATCAAAGAATTGTAATAATCCATAAGAATTTCCCTCACATTTGTACTTTTATGTTTCAAAATAAGAAGATATGCTAACCTGCTCTTCTTGTGTGACAGGCTGCATTCTAGAATAAGAAAAGAACACGGGAACTTAGCAAAACAAGCTTAACATCTTCCAGAAGAAAACAGCTCAAGTCTCAGATCCATTTTCACCAAAGTCATTTCTTGTTTTTGGTTTTTTTTTTTTTAAATACACCCATGCTATTTTTTGGGTGTGTGTATTTCTTGGGGTTTGTAAAAAGCACCTATTCTGAACTCCACATGCCTGCAAAATGCAGAATCATTCATATATATTAGGGAATATATACCTGTGTGTTATATAGGCATCAACATGAATTTGAGATGGTCTCACTATGCATTAGTGGCCAAACCGTTAATTCAGTTATATTTTGCTTCAGTGTTATGTGCCTATCCCATCCCAAACCCATGTGACTATAACCATTAGCCAGACCAGCATGCATTTTGTATGTATTTATTATTATTTGCATAATAAAAAGAGCCAAATTAGGCTCATGCCATTTCCCTCCTTTAATGATGCAAGACCCAAATTTTTTGTCCTCTCCCCAAAAAGTTTTTTTTTCTGCATTATTTTTACATTAGAAAGGTACATCATGCCTAACTGGGAAGACTTATGATAAGAATTAGTGAAACATCACAAGAGCCTAGAGTGAAAACAGAAAAATGAGAGAGGGGATTTTTAGTTAGACTGTGTAAAATGGTTTTTGAGTACATTTCTTTAGCTTCAAGAACTAATTAACATTTTGGAGAAAAGAAGCCTTTGTTCAAGGTTCAACATCCTCACAACTTCAACCAAGATGTGAAAGCTTACAATATTCTCCCTCTGAGATTTTCCCCATTAGTCTTCCAGCAAACCAGGAAAGGGAGGAGTTCATATTTCTGATATATTCCAGGTAAAAATAAGCAGAGGAAAAAATCTTAAGCCCTTCCATTTTATACAACATAATGCAGATAAAAAGGGCACAAAAGCCCAATTAATAAAAAAAATCATTTTCATCATTACCTGTCGTTTATAATAGAAATGCTGTGTGGAACAGGTTCTCTCAAACTGATATTTGAAGGGATTACGTGAGTGTCCTTTACTATTGCTTTGAACAAAATCCACCTGGCTCCCTACTACAGAAATACAAATTTAAAACATCCACCCATTTGAACATGAGTCTTTACTGCATCTCTAGGTTGTTGGTTTTTTTGAACTATTCCAGATAAACAAAAACTCAGACAAAACAGCTAGTCTGACTTTCTACTGTAATGTTGAGTTCACATTAGTACATTTAACAAAACCTAAATTCTTACCTGAATGGGATTTTGCATTAATATGTTTAAGTATTATAATTTTATTATAGAAGCCATTTCTCTCTGGAACCCCTACAAACCGCAATCTTTAGAACAGGTCTTTTTTCCTGAAGCACTAATGCAGGGGTAGCCAACCCATTACAGATGAAGAGCCAGAATAGTGGTGGATACAGTGCAAGGGGGGGGGGGAGGGAGACACAAAACCAGCCCCAGTCACCACATTTCCCTTTTTAAGAGTAGAGCAGGCTTTGCCCTTTGAAGGCGGCCATTTTGAAGTCTGCAAAGGACACTGCAACTCTGGCTCTGTCTCTTTCAGAAAGAAACATGCTGCCCCTTTAAGAGCTGTGAGTGCAGGTGCTGCATGCCAAAGGAGCATGTCCTTGCGATTTGAAATTTGTGATTAGAGAGCTCCTAAAACGTCATTCCCCAAATGAAGAAAAAACAATGACAGTTATGTATCAGGTGACTCAGCACCAGCTGGGAGAGGGCCAGGCCTCTTCATCTCTAGCATTCCAGAGCAAAAAATTCTGATGCCTGACGACAGAATCCATTTCCCCGCTCAGCACTATGAAGGAGGCAGAGTGGAGACCTCAAACAGTGGGCACTATCCTTTCTTTGATAGAACTGTAGCGTGCAGTTCCTGAGTGTACGTGTCACCCCTACATGCCCCTCCTCCCCACAAAAAGCACAGTGGGAAAGACAACGTGGAGTCTTTTTCAACAGTTCAAGAAAAACTACATTGTGGTGATCTTGTATGAGGCAGACTACAACCGACGAAGCCCAAAGCAACCTCTAAAACAGGGAACTTCAAGTCTCTCCCATGTGGACCAACCCCCAAACCTCTCCCAAAATCTGGAAATGCAAGTTTCCTACACTATTCTTGAAAGCAAAATCCCTATTTTTCTCATTTCCATAGAAACCTGGAAAAGCAGACCACACCGCCTAAGAAGTAAAAGCATCAATTACAGGTGTCTTCACTTGAACCAGAAAAGTTTAAACTTCACTTATCTCCAACGTGCCAAGTGGCCTAAATCCTCTGGAATTTAATTTAGCGGGTCTATTTAAGATCCGCTAAATCTAACACGGAGGGCAGCTCCAGTCAGCTCCCACATTCCTCCAAGGAATAAGGGAAGCCAATGGGAGCATATGCTCCCATCAGCATCCCTCTGTAAAGACAGTGCCAAACTCAGATTAAGTAAAATGACTCCAGCTACCTATTTTACATAGCTGGACCTGCATACCTTAATCCGACCTTTCAGGCCTACTGTAGACCTGGCCTTAGATTTTAGCATGTTCTTTTACTTAGGACAAGAGAAAATTACTGCAAGTTTCCCATACAGTAAGGGGATTTTTTTTTTGGTCAAGAGAAAGAAAGGGTATGCCATGCCCACAATAAAACTTAAGTTCTCACCATCACAGTAACTGATACTTTTAGCTGAGGGCACAACAGATTGCTTTTCACATTGCAGAGAAAAACAGAGACAGTGAGAAAAAGGGGGAAAGGTTTCAACGCATACTTGTTGGGAAGAACAGCATTTTCCCCTCTTCCTGGTTCTCCGAGTCTAGCATTCTCTTCCTGGATTTTGTGCTTCCCATCCTGCCAAAAGAAAATGTTTAAGAGTGAGTATTTTACTGACTGCACTTGAAGCACAAGTCTCACTGACTTTCAATGGGATCTGTACCTAAATCACTTGAGCAGTTTTTAACTTCAATCCCTTTTACCTCTCGCACCAGTGTAGTATAAGAGCATCCCTCACACACCAGCTGTTTGCTTTCCTCTTCCAGGGCAGAAACACCCCCCCACCCCCTCCCAGAAAGACATCCAAGCTGGCTTCAGGTTTTTGGAGAGGTAATCAAACTTTTTTTTTTAACTGGGAAAAAGGAAGCAACAGCTACCTGGACTAGTACAGCATAAGTAGGGGAAGGAAAATATTATTTTATAGATTTCCTCTATAAATATCAATGAGACAAAGGCAAATCCCCAACCAATGGGGCATTACCTTGCAACACAAGTACAAAACAAATTGCTATCTGTATTAGTGACAGTGAAAGCATGTCAGAACCTTCCCAGCACACTACAATGCCTATGACAGTTTCTAAAATTCTGAACTGCAGCTTGAACAAGACCTTAAAAGTATTGTTAAAATGATACATTTAGATAAAACGAAACCTTCTATAGCTACAATAAACGTAGCAGATGTGTTATATAACTAGATATTTCTGTAAATTAAACCCATTGGTTCCTAAGACAAAAGACGAATGTTCCAGTCTAATGAGTGTTCCCATAGTGACAAATAAACGGAGGAGGGTAATTCCATGGAAAAAAAGGCACATCATAAAAAACAAACCCTGAAGCAATGAGACAAGTACAAGTAGAGAAAAGAACCATTTCCCCTTCCAGCTGAATAGCTTGATTTTGTTTGGACAGATCAAACAGCCAGTTTTCAAAGTCAGCTGCAATAATTTTTTTTAAAATTCTGATACCTTTTTGTTATCGTGGCCTAACAGCTGTTTTGTGTATACAGAATGTTATCAAGTTATCAAGATGCATTACTGGCTTTTTTTTTTTTTTTAAAGCGTTTTTTAAAATGATCTGCATTGATAAAAGTTACTGAAGAACTAAAGCAGTCCTCAACGGAAAGAGAAGTATGAGGTCTCCTAGGAAAACCCAGTGAAGGTTGGCCACCTGAAAGAACAGGGTGGCAAAGTACATGAAGAGTACAGAAATACCCTGTACAATTTCACTCTCCATTCTGGAGTAATGCTGGTGTCTCGGGAAGAACGGCCATTTTGCAGGAGACTGCTATGTCTAATGGTGTACAACAAAGCAGGGAGAGATCGGTTTTAAGAAAAGTTTAATAAACGTGAAAACCAATTTTTTCTTCAAGAACAGAAGTTACAATTTTGAAATTCAGCTCTTATGCATTAAAAGCCAGCTTCATTTCTTGAGTTCTACCTTAAACTGTTCAGATGGTAACTTCCTGTTTATGATCTCTTCAAATAATTTCACATTATTTACTCTTAATGAGATGCAGTGATTAGAGTATCTTTTATATTGTGGTTTTCGGTTAGTAAACAGCGATGAATACAACCAATTTAAAGATCTGTCCAACACGAGGGAGGGAGGTTTACACTCTTATATTACAACTAGACTTGCTGCTTCAAGCGGAAAATGAAAAATTTCAATTTCATGGTGTGCAAATTTAATCAACATTTACATGAGTTTTTCCTATCCCAACTTCTACCCTAACAGCAACACGTATGTACAATCATATTAAGCTCAAGGTAAGATAGTGGCTAAAATGAAACCATATTTAAACATGAACAAAAAGATATGAGCCAACACTGGCAATACCATTTTTAATTGTGGTTTTTGGCAGCCCTTTTCTTGGGCTACCATGCTTTTGTTTTCTTGGATGCCATGGTGGGTTGGTGACCATCTGTCTCTTTCCCGTTTCAATTCTTGTTCAAGATGGCTCCTACAATAAGAGGAATTGTGGATAAAATATCTGATTTTACAACACCCAAAACACCCAGCTATTAAGAAGCTGATTTATGTTTTTAGCATAAGAGGGCAAAAAAGAAATCTCCATTACCAGAATTTTCAGAACTGTACATCTCTGAACAAAATGATCTCAAAGCATGTTTAACAAGCCCACAATGCATAAAATCTGAATCTAAATTCTGGATCTAAACCAATCGAGCTTAAATTTTGTTTAGCTATATGAAATATGCACCTGTTCATTAAATCAGTAGGTCTTCAATTAAAAGATGTAATCATATTTTTAACATGTGACTGCCATCAACAGTAAAAACTACCACAGTAAAAACAGCATTAAATCCAAAGCAACATCTTCGACCAATTTGCAGGGACATCCTTAAAGATGCTTCTCTTCCTGCCTCTTACTCAAAACTTATGTGGCTGGGGTGCTTCCACCATGTCTGAAGATTAATATTAGGCTGTGTTAGAGCAACTGAGTTCTCAAACCGGGTTCTCTGCTAACACCACCCTGCGCTAGCAGATCCCAGGTGTTTGAGTGAAGGGATTGTTCAAGCAAGAGCACATCAGCTGATTCTAGTGCCATGATATTAAATGGGTGAGGTGTGATTGCAGGTAGCTGAAAGAGATTATCTACTGTTCCATAAATAGTGATCTACACCTTGCAATCTAATGCAATACACGGGGTAGAGATGTAACGTGCTCCCTTCCCTCTAGCCAACTCAGCAGTCAGGCCTCTCATTTGCACACCAGCTGCTATGGAGAGCTTCAAGGTTAGTCCTCCAGTGTTGCAGCATCCAAGGTGGAGTTGACAAAGGTATGGTGATAGCAGTGAGTTCATATTCGGGAGAAATAAATCATAAACAGGCCAAACAGAGATCATTTCAGGTCACTGGCACCGCCTGAGAAGTCAGAAGTGAAGTGACATCCAACAACTGCAGATCCTGAAAAAGGGGAGATCCTCCCAAATACTCAAGTTGCCTCCCCCAAGCCATCAAAATCAGGTTGGTCTTATCTCATCTTGAGCTCATCCCAATCCGTTTTGGCCAGGCACTTGAAAGGCTGTGACCATGTGGTGACTAGTTCTAATAAAAGGACGTCAGCATACTGATGGCAGCACAGCCCACACAGTCTCACTTTCTTCCCCAGCAGTCCCACATCCTCACTGACCAGGGGAATGATTATGAAGACAACAGATTACTGCAAGAGAAGACAGGCAGTCACCCAATGAAAGTGATAGAAATTCCTTCTCAGTACTTTTAGAAATACACTGGACAGAACATGAGACTATACTATAGGGAACAACCGTGGCTCCAAGGCTACGTCTAGACTGCAAGCCTCTTTTGAAAGAGGCTTTTTCAAAAGTATCTTTCGAAAAAGCCTCTTTTGAAAAAGAGCGTCTAGACTGCAAGCAGTACTTTCAAAAAAGCAAGCCGCTTTTTCGAAAGAGCACCCAGGCAGTCTGGACGCTCTCTTTCGAAAAAGCCCTGTTTGCATTCAAGAACACCTATTTTCAAAAGAGCACTTTCGAAAAAAGGCGTTCTTCCTCGTGAAATTAGGTTTTCCGCCGTCAAAAGAAAAGCCGCGTTCTTTCGATTTAATTTTGAAAGAACGCGGCTGTAGTCTAGACGCAGGAGAAGTTTTTTCGAAAAAAGGCTACTTTTTTCGAAAAAACCCTCGAGTCTGGACACAGCCCAAGAGTGAAGGACAGGAAATCTACATCAAGGGATTGTTTTTTAAGAAAGAGGTTAATGACGACTCAGAAGAGACACCAGAACCCTCCCTCCTTAAAACAGAATACTCTATTTCCACCCTCACCTCTCCAATAGTTTTTACAAAACAGAAAGAACACAGGTCTAGCTAGTACATAACAGCTCACAGCTTCCAAAGCATTCCCAAGACCTCAGGGAACTGAACTGGGTGAAAATCACTTGAGACATGGATCGGTGCCCCCACTGATGCACTCAATACCATACCAGTCAGTGTAATCTTGCCCTTAAGATTGTATGAAAACTCAGAGCAAAAAACAGTTTCCTAATATGGCAATTCAGGTCAAGCAAGCAGTTCACCACCTCTATAGCTAATCCAGGAGACTTGTTCACACATACAATTTTCACTTAATGAACTACATTTTTTATACTGACTTAATATTGATTTCTAAACCAAAGTGACAGAAGTGTTCCTGCAAGGTGTTCCTACTGATTTAGCGGAATTAGGTAAACCAATCTGTACACAGACCAGGCCTAATCCCCTTTTGGGTCTGATAAAATTGCTAGCAGCAAAGATATAACGACTAGTATTTTCATCTTGTTGGATGCAGACCAAATTATACAATGGGCATAATTTTCAAATGTGGGCACAAAGCAATGTTCTTGCAAAACAGTTGTGTCCTTTAAGTGCACAAATGGGATCTTACATTTACTCTACTAAAAGCCAAGTCAGTCATCACTCCACCCACTCACTATAAACATTTTGATTTACATCTCTTCACTTTGAGGACCCTTACACCTCTCTCTTTGCCTTGTAATGGTCTAGTAGAGGTCAAAGATGACCATGCAAAACATTTTATCCAATAATGCTTCGTAATGACCTTGTCATGGAACAGAGAATGCATCGTGTATGCAAAATGAGAGGCCATCTTCTGTTTCATGGTAACAGGGTTTGTATTTTCCTCATGTTATTTAACTGGCAACTCTGAAAGAGAAAGATGATAGTTTTTCCATGCTGATTTTTCGGTCCTAGACTCTCAGGTTTTTGTTTGGTTCCCAACAAAACCAAGGGCGTGTCTCCATTACAGAGTGAACAGATGATGCAGCAATCAATCCAGTGACGGTCAATTTAGCGACTCTAGTGAAGCTTCACTAAATCAACCACTGATCACTCTCCTGTTGACTCCAGCAGAACGAGATGAGCAAGGGGAGCCAACAGGAGAGTTTCTTCCGTCAACCTCCTGCATTGTGGGTCTCGTGGTAAGTAAACATAAGCTGTATCGATCGGAGTTATGCTACTAACATAACTCAAAATATGTAGCTTAGATCGACCTATTCTTGTAGTGTAGTCCTGCCCTAAGGCTATTTGTGGATTAAGAAAAATACAGGTTTATTTATTAGTTTAGTGCCCAAGGACATTTACTGTCAGTTTCCTAAAATAGTAGATTTACTTAATGGTAAAAAAGGAGGAAACTAGATAATATAGTAGCTCTAGCATTCCTAATTACGAATATTATGAATTATTGTTGGTGTCTAGTTTCTCTTTCTTTCTTATATTCTAGAATACAAATTACCGTATTAGAGCAGAACTGCACACTGCCAGCCTCTCATTGGGAACTTTTCACTGCTTGGAGAACATTTTTATATTTCGTTTCTACTGGTGGTGTTCCACAGCCTGTTTTTGTAACAAGATTTGTCTTCTTTTAATGTTCTATGGAGCAGTAGACTTGTATTATTCTTGTTATTTTTACGATCACATATTTGCTTTAAAAGTGATACATTTAAAAAAATGCAGTTGCAACTCAGATGTCCACATTTGAAAATTTGGTCCACAAAAGCATCAAAGCACTCCCCCCCATTCTAAGGTAACTCCCCTTGTGTTGAGAATAACCGCCCTCCCCATGTACTATGGGTTTTCCCAGACATTCCCAACCTGGCAGAGAAAGCACACCCAGTAAGTACATTAGAAAACCATCTCTTCACCGCTGCTTGGTGAGCTGTTCCACTTCCATCTGAAGACTGTTGATCTTGTCACCAAATTCTTGCTTGAAAAGCCGGTTGTCCTCCTCGGCAGATTGCCGTTCTCTCTCTGCCTGTCGCAATCTGGATTTGAGCCACATGAACTTGTGATAAAAAACAAAAGCCATGGTGGGGAGGAAGACTGAATTTAAACAAACAAAAATAAACCCAAAAAAGGAAACCAACTGTATGATAAAACAATGGGAAGGATGAAAATATTCTAAAGAAAGACAAAACGTAGGTGAACCAGGCAGAAGAAACTCCGATTTTCAATGTTTTTATTCTATTACTACAGTTTACAGCCATTAGATGATAAACATAAAACATTTTCTCCATATTCAAAGCAAACCTCAAGTACACTGAATTTTAAGTCAAATTTTATTTTAAAGTACGTTACATTTCAGCTTTGCACATGTAACTGGAACTTGCAACATAGGTTATCTACTATATTTAGAATTAGTGCATTTTCCTGGTCTCTTCCACAACTATCACATCTGATAAAGCACACGGGCATTTACACCACAGCAACCTATGCTCTGGATCAAATATTAGTGAAGTTACCAGGTATAGTCTTCAATCCGGCTATAGCATTGCTGTGATAGGAGAAAGTTTATTGTCCACATGAAGAATTTGGTGTGGGAGAGGAGGGGTGTTGTAACAATCCTAACCATTTGAATAGCCTGATGAAAACTTTTATTCTGCAGGTAATTCAAATGAATTCAGAATAAAAAAAGTCACAAGTTAATTTTGTGTTTTCAAACATGTGACTCAATAGCCATCCTTGAATATTTAGGTGTTATTTTCCAGGTGGTCTTATCAAGTCTGCCATGCAGGCACCGATTTTTACAAGATAAGGTGTGATACTACTTGGGTGGCAAAATTGAGCCTTATAGATTTTTAAGTATGTCCAGTGGGAATTTAAGTTATTCCAGCTGCATTATAGTCATACAAGTCTCCCACTATGTGTCTAGGAGTCTTATTCTACATGACAGAGTGGGAAATTTACATGAGAGAATTTTTGCAAGCAATTCACAAGGACAAAAACTATGAAACAGGAAAAAAAAAAAACCCCAAAATTTGATTTCTTGAAGCAAAGTATTTATAGAATTATTTACATCCTAAAGCCTGTACGGGACCATCACGGTGACCTCTTGCGACCATAGGGAAGAGGACACTAACTTACAACATTCCAATTTACAGTGTTAAAAAATTTGAAGTGAGATGTTAAGTTTATGATTATTTTTCCTAGAACTAACTTTCTCTCTCTCTCTCTCTTTTTTTTTTGCCAGAACTCTCAGCAAATTTCCTATCTGTATCAAGCAACAGAAACCTAGAAGCAAATGTAACAAGTGTTATAGTGAAAGGCAACTACTTTGTAAAAAAATGTTGTAGGCCATCTACTCGGAGACAAGGACTGGCCTGTAGAAAACTACTTCTCCTTCTACTCCCTCTCTCTCTCTCTCTCTCATTTTTTAACTCTAAGGTATAAAGAGCAGAATATTTTTGTAAAAGGTGTAACTATTCCTTTTCTAAGAAGGGGAGAGACCAACAAAAAAACTCTCTCCTTGGCTTCCTTCAGTAGGAAGAACTGTATTATATTTCTAGAAGGAATAATGGCAGAGGTAGAAGGCAATGCAACGATAAAGAGGTTTTAATGCAATGCTACTCCAAGACATACAGTTACTAATTTTTTCAACATGAGGTTTAAAGCAAACTATGGTTGATTTACCTCCCCACCTCAATTCACTAAGGCAAAATTGTTGCAAGCAGTGTTAATTAATGAGGACTGGATGAATCTTCATTGTGATGAGACATTAAAATGTAAAGCTGATTTGTCCTCATCTTGGGGTTAAAACCCAAGAGAACAAAAGCAAAAGGGTAATGGTTCAGACTACACATGTAACTACTTTCAACTACTTCCAGGGACACATTTTCTTCATCTACTTTACAACTAGGTAACAGAAATCTAGTTTGGCTTCCCCAAAATTGGCCAGATATTGGCATGAATCATGCATCTAGTACCCATTCATGTTGAAGACTTATGCTGTATACAGTAAGTAAGTATCAAAGGTATATATAGAGCCACACATCTCTCATTCTTTATGCCTTCCTTGTGTATTTATTAGCCTACTCATCCATAGTTTTACAAAGTTTGTGTGGCAGATTAGGGAGCTTATACCAAATTTTCTATCTCTGGGAAAAAAAAAGTCCAATGGTTTCAAAAATTCAGCAAATTCCAAATAAACTTTAAATGACAAAACATTTAAACAGTTGCTTTTAACTATTCTTAAGTTTTCTCCCTCATAACTGAGATTTGATGTCAGAGTTGTAAGGTGACCAGTTGCAAAAATGCCTAATGGTGCTTCTGGATCAGTTTGTTTGCTGCACTATTTAAGGTTTTTGCCTGTTTCACCAAATCCTTTTCACTACATGAAACATGTCAGAATGATGATATGGGGGAAATAGAGAAAAAAATAAAAACAGCAAGAGAAAAGTTCAGATCAGTTAACTGAACAGATATGGTACATTTTTAATATAGGTTTGTGTAAATTATGATATGACAAACATTCCTCGGATTCACTCAAAATACTACAGGAAAACACTACCTCAGAAGAATTTGATGGAAGTTACACACTCTACCTTAACCATCTTTACACCAAATAAAGTAACGATTACAGAAAAGAACTCTAAGCATTCCCCTTATCTTTGTTCATTTCCAAATGAAACAGCATTATCGGTAGGAAATGCACTTCTCATGCCCACTAGTAATCATTTTGGATCCAAGCAAGGGGATGAATGCATAGATGGGGACACTTTCCAGTCAGTAAATCAATTTGCACCAGCTGAACTGTGTGAAAACCACTAAGGCTCAACTCTAAAGAAAATGGGAATACACCCTCCTGAGATCCTCCTCTGGGACTGCCTGGTTTTACATCACACCTCAGCGTCCATCCCAATTATGTAAGGATTGATAATGGGCTGGCAGCACTGTGAGACAGATGTTCGAGAACGTGCCTTCACAGCGCTAATGGATATTGTTCCCTCTGCTATGTCTGCCAGCTCCTAGTGCCAGAAAGTCCCCTCTGCTCCCAGCCCCCAAGTTGGTTTCAGTGTGCTTTCTTGCACCTCAGATCTCTGAGAAACCACAGGGCTCTCAGTTATTCATGGAGACAGAGGTTCCAATTTTAATATAGGATAGTTTTAAAAACAGAACTAAAGTCAAATATAACAATAAGCAAATTTCAGATCTGACATTGCTGTAATTCTTGTCCTCCTTGCTGCCACTACTGGATTGCCATCTCTACTGTGCTGCAACTAATATAGACCGTATGTTTTTGTGAATCATCCATTTGTACAGTGTTAATGGTGCTGTACAGGGCCATTTAAATTAACAATGGTCAATTAATTATCCAGTGTTACATCTTCATATTCAACAAGGCTGCGAAAGAGGCCAATAATTAGCTTTTATACACAGTGGCTGTGCCTATACTGGCAAGCTTTTCTGCAAAAGCACGTGCTTTTGCGGAAAAACTTGCCAGCTGTCTACACTGGCCGCTTGAATTTCCTCAAGAACACTGACTTTCTACTGTCTGAAATCCGCAAGAAGCACTGAAATACTATGCTGCTCCCATTCGGGCAAAAGTCCTTTTTCACAAAGCTTTTGTGCAAAAGGGCCAGTGTAGACAGCTCAGATTTGTTTTGCGCAAAAAAGCCCCGATCGCGAAAATGGCGATTGGGGCTTTTTTGCGGAAAAGCGCGTCTAGATTGGCATGGACACTTTTCCGCAAAAAGTGCTTTTGCGGAAAAGCATCCATGCCAATCTAGACGCTCTTTTCCACAAATGCTTTTAACGGAAAACTTTTCTATTAAAAGCATTTGCGGAAAATCATGCCAGTCTAGACGTAGCCACTATGTATATGCCGCATGTGTATAAAACATCTGCAGTAACTGATATTCTCATTTATTGGGGGGTTTCCTGAGCACCTTCTTACCAATCTATCACCAGATTACTGCTATAGGGCCAAGTCCTGCTCTCCTTACCCATCTGGATAGTTCCACTTTCTTCCATGGGACTGTTCAGGTGAGTAAGAACAGTAGATTTGCTCCTCTGTTGTAATGGCCGGCTGTGCTCCCATGTTATTCAATGGGAATTTGCCATGAACTTCAAAGAAAGCAGGCCTATAAATGTAATTCAAAATACTAGCATTTTGAAAAAAATGTCTATAAAGGACTCTTTAGAATAACTATTGGTGTCTAGGATATTTATTTAGCTCTGTGTAACAAGTTTGCAAAACAGTGTATATTTTAGTACCTATAAAAATATATATTAAACCATAGGGACATTTTTTTTTATTTTGTAATAAAAAATAAAAAAAAGTTTCATTTTTACCTTTGTTCAAGCTGTTTTATAGTAGCAGCCATCTGATTTGTCTTCTCCTCCAAACGGCTGTTTAATTCACTCTTCTGTTTTGCTCCCAGGTCTGAACTCTGGAAAGGAAAGTTACCCAATGTCTTCCGTAAGCAGTGGTAAACATGAAATAAACTAAAACTGGAACTCTCTGGTCCAGCAAATTCCCTCGTTCAGGACCGGTCAGGTCCCAAGGGTGCCGGACCAGGGAGGACCAACATGGCATACGAGTGCCACCTGTTTGAACCATCTACTCTCAGCAAATTCTGTGCAGGGTTTTGAAATTAAGTTGAAGACTTATTTATCTGGACATTAGCCATCCGGTTTTGTCTTAGCATTCTGACCCAGTGGATGTTATTGGTAAGTGGAACTGTGCACATTTTACTGGATAGACACTTGTGGGTTTGTTTATTTAAATATATGCACTATTATATAGGTTTACTTCTAGGTTTCATCATTGGAGCTTTTCTTTAGAACTAATTTTGGTTATGCTCTAGGCTGAACTCCAGAAGGAGTTATAAGAACAATACTTTTGAAACTGTCTCTCCATAGTAATTTTTGCCCATACAAATGATTTCATTTTATCATTATATAACGTGATACTCAGTGCATTACAGTAGAAAGCACAAAAGGAAGCTTCATATAAGCTGTGACTGAGAACTGTCAAAAATTTAAATTGGTCAATGAAATAAGCAATTAAAACCACAAGCCACAGATGTCGACAATGTTGCTATATCCACCAACCTTGTCATTTCTACAGTTTTTTAAAACCTTTGGCTCCAGTCTAAAGAAAGGAGATTATAAAATTCTGTACACAGTTATTTGCACTAATAAAAGTGAAATGCTTCAGAAAGGGGACTTGGCCCAAACACAGTCTCCCAAAAGTGCTGGAAAGGATCTCCTTCATTTCTAGCATATTAAGAAGGACAACTACTGAACATTGACCAGCTATGCAAGCCGGTGATCGCATGCTGCTGAAACACCCCTACTCAACTCTCAAAGAGCCAGGTATTAGGGCTAAATTGTCTTCTTACTATTCAATAGGTGAGTGTTCAGCTATCAGGGGACGCTTTTTTCTCACGAGTCCCAGCATCTGGTGAGTTTTTTTAATTTTTAAAAAGTTATGAGCCAGCCCTTAGTGTTGGCAGAATATACAATTATGTGAGGGATCCAAGGTGGATCCAACTGACTCTGGACAGAAGTCTACAGCTTCCGGACCAAGTCATGTTCACCTTTGCTCAGTTAGGAAGGCAAGTCTCAATGCAGGCTGAGTGTGGAAGGAACAAAATGGAATCCACAGTGAGATTAGGAGAGGAGGAAGGATGGTAAGAAAGGGTATGCAAGTGATCCTAGTCCTCCCTCATAAAGGACTTACTGATAAGAAAGAAGCAGCATAGTTCGTTCCTACGTGCCACAACTACAAAGGGACCATTTCACTGGCTTCCTTCCCTACCTGTAGCTTGAAGGAAAGTTCATGTTTTAGTGCCCTGAGATCATCTAGTTGCTGCCTGAGTGCCACTAATGCATCCTGCTTCTCACAAACATCTTTTTCCAGCATCTTCATGGCCAGCTCCATCTCCTGTCTCATGCCAATCTGCACCTCTAGTTCTTTTTCCACATCCTGAAACACACACGATAGGTTTTATAACAAGTCTTCAGACTTGAACACAAATGAACTAATGTGTGATAATTCATGCTACCCTCCACCCCATGAATCATCGTACTGTCATTGTAAATAGAATTTAGATATTAAGGTAATGAAAAAAACAAGCCATAACAATCAATTATTATATCTATGTCAATGGCTTTACTGGCAATCCATCAGAAAGCTCTATTTGGGCTCACATCTAATGCCAAGTTTATATTTTTCATTAATCAAACGTTCGCAGCTCTCTTATTTCACAAGAATACCCCTTTTAACCATTTTCCCTATCCTTATCCCATGTGCTGTACAACATTAGTTGACAGGCATCCATGTTGTAGACTCAAGGGCTATGATTAGACTGCAAGCCTCTTTCGAAAAAAAGCGTCTAGACTACAACCAGTACTTTCGAAAAACAGGCAGTCTGGATGCTCTCTTTCAAAAAAGCACAGTTTGCATTACATAGCGCCTTTTTTCAAAAGAGCACTTTCAAAAAAAGGCGTTCTTCCTCGTAAAACGAGGTTTTCTGTGGTCGAAAAAACTGCCACGTTCTTTCGATTTACTTTCGAAAGAACGTGGCAGCAGTCTACACGCAAGTAAAGATTTTTTGAAAAAAAGGCCACTTTTTTCAAAAAATCCCTGTAGATTAGACACACCCAAGGATATCATTTACATTTCTTAAATATAACAATGGAAGGTAAGTGCACATTTTCTGTGTGATGTTGCCTCCATTCTGGTAAGTATGCTGCTGTGAAGCAGGGAAATTACTTCTGGTCGAGTGTTTTAAAACAAAAGTGAAGTTATGAGGCAAGGATACTAATGGTTATTAAGCAAGGCACTTGGGAAAACTATCACCCTACTTGGGTCTCTGAACATAACACATCTCCTCTGCAAAGATGCGTGTTAGACAATGAGTGGTTATATGAGACATTTAATACTTTACCGAATTCTGAGTTTAGACCAATCTTACCAGCCGTAACTGAGTCTCCTCCTTTAACTGTTTCCGTGCTTCACTTAGTGCAACTCCATCTGTAGTTCTGTCTTGCTTAGTTACCTAGAGTTAACAAAGAGAACATCAGGTGGACGACAAACTTCCAGAATCCTCATATTTGTTGATTTTCTTCTGCCATTTTCAAATATCTATTGCCTTCACTAAGTTAATTCAGCAAGCAATTTCCTTGTGAATTTACTATTTTCCTCCTCCACTGCACATGATTTAATCAGTCTAGCCATTTTCAAGACATTATATAATAGGATTTTAAGTATGAACGATTTATAAACTGACTAAAATACCTTTATAATTTTAAAAGTAGAAACAGATTTCAGAGTGGATATCAACATCTTTTTATCTGATCAAGTCAAAACTTTAAAGTTCTTTGAAGTCCCCTTGATTTTAGGAAAAAAGATGGGACTGGGTAATAAAAATGCTAATGGCACAAGGAAGTGAAATACCCACTTTAAAAAAAAAATCTGAATCATAACATACAAACTGACCTTACGATTAGATTCCAAGAGGAAAGAACTTTCTTCTTTAACTCGCTCCATCTCTTCTTGCAGTGTTATAATCCTATTGTTTGCAACTGCCAGCTATAAACAAAATAAGAGAATTCTAACTTAGACGACCTGTTCTCTTCATTACCTATCACCAATATTCCCTCTAATCTTTTCCATCCATGTGTGGATTTTTAACATCCATATGTGGAATACATTTTTCGATGTGAACCAAGGCACGTATGAATGCACCACCAGTAGAAACAAAAGCCTTGCTGTGGACGCTCTGCTAATCAGCTGGGTGACATTTGAATGTCCCTGAGCATCTGCACAAGAGCTCCATTTACAGGGAAAACTGCCTACTACTACCCCAAGTTTTGGGTCATCTGCAAACTTTATCACTGATGATATTATGGGTTTTTTCCTTGTCATTTAAAAAACAGCATAAGGCTTACAACTAATCTGTGTAATAGTTTTGTAAAATCATACCTGCTTGATGAGTCCCCATTTACAATTACATTTTGAGACCTAACAGTTAGCCAGCTTTTAATTCGTTTTATGTGTACCATGATACTTTACTATTTTTCTATGGTGCTTTTAATCAGAACACAGTGCGGTAGCAAGCCAAGAAGTGGCATACAATGCATTCTGAGACACCTTCACATAAGCAGAAAGTATCAACAAGATTTCAGAAAGGAGAAAATATTTCTTTTCATAGTCATTTTTCAAAAAAGCATTCTTTTACTGAGGGTCCTGTAGTGCCTGGTTAGTGACAACAATCAACAATTTTGTGCTTAACTCAGTTTTCATTTCAGCTTTCCAGTTCACTCTTAACTGACATCAGTCATTACAACTTTATTCAGGAAACTGATCTTACTTCTGCCTTAATTCAGGACTTCACAAGACAATGAAGATGCATCCATTTCTCTTACACCTACCTCCTCAGTAAGTTTAGTGTTGGATTTTTCTAAAGCATCCACTTTTGCCTGCAGATTGTTTACGGTAGCACTGTAAAATTAAAGAGAAAAGGCTACTTGTTATTTTAAAATAAACAACAACCATTTTCTGTCACTTAGATCAGACCATAATAAAAAACAAACATTTTACCTTAAGTGTCTATTGAGCTCTTCTACATAATTTTTCTGGTCCAGAATAGCAGTTATTTGACCATCTCTGCAAAAGAGAGACAGTGAATAGTCAATGCCTCACAATACACAATTCTCTCTCAAGCTGCAAGCAACAGTTGTCTCATGCTAACTACAGGAATGGCTGAAGGGCAGTCCATGGCCAGCTTGTCCTCAAGCTTTCAGATACTGGTCAGTTGTGTGATATTTCCTGAGGCTCTAGGGGGAGGAATTGTTCTTTACAGAAGGGAGAGTCTGTTACCAGTGAGAAGGAAAGCCAGGGCTAGAGGCAGAGGCAACAGAGGTATGCTGTCACTTCAAATCTTACATGGGGCCAAAAGAATATATACTGGGATAATTTAACTGATGGAGGGGAGAGAGAAAAACCAATTTTTCTCTGCTGCCATCTCTCACCTTCAAATTCTAAGGTCAAGAATATTCATCTATAAAATTCTGAGAGCAGACGGTCAGTGCAGACAACATTGCTGTCTAAGAACTATCTATACGTGAGCAGAAAGCTGTTTGGATTATAATGGAGGAATCTGCAGACTCCATGTAACAAATGTGTATTAAAAGATGAGAGTAGTTATGATCTGTGCCTTTATATAAATAAGTTAGACTTGGATTTCAGACAGGTTATCAGTACAATCTTTAGTAGGACAAAGTTTGCACAACTTACACAACAGAATGCCCAATTAATCAAGACAGACATTTTGACTAGCAAGAAAATTCAAACAAACAAGTACCAATATTTTTTCAGTATACTACCTTAATGCCTAACTAAACAGTCACCCACTTGCAATCTACTCAACAAAAGCTAAAAACAGACTGTTTCATGCATTTCCAGAATGAAAAGTTAAATAACTTAATTTTCAAGTGACAAATACAAGAAGAAAATGTAAATTGTCTCACTCTGCAGAATCAAGGTAATACCAAATAAATGGAAAATGACAGCACTTCTGACCAATGAAGAGGATTTAATGAACTTCAGAAGTACAATAAGTCATATTATGTATCATATCCCCCCACCCCGTACTTTTTCCAATCTCCTGTTCCTATACACAGTGTTATGTATCTATATGCATATATGGAGGCAAAAGAACGCAAACTGATTTAATATACGGCTTCATATACACTTGGGGGATTTAGTTCATATGCATCCCCTTCTGAGGTATGAGACCAAATGACCTTTTTTACTGGTCATACAATTGCTTGAAAAAAACCCAACCATGTAGCTCAAATGGAAAGAGCTTTAGAAAGTGACCTGCCACCAGTTTGATCACTGAACCTTTTTTACTTTATAAAATGCTCTCTGATTTAATTGCTGGTTGAGTCAATAAAAGCCACACACCCCTCTCAGATTCTGCATGCTTTCCTTTGTTAGTTTTCTGATATCCATCACAGAACTAGAATTAGAACAAGAGCAGAATTCAGCATGACTGCACTGTTTTATTTAAAACTACAGTATTGTGGGGTAACTTGTAATATTACTCAAAACCAAACATCCCAAATTAAAAAGGACACAAGTTTCCCTTTGTACTTACCCTTCATTGCCCTTACTGCTATTCCCATCCTTCAAGTACATTGAAAAATCAATAACTCCAACCTACAAAGGAAGATTTTCGTATTTTACATATGGCTCTTTAACTCTTCCTAAATATTACTCTTTTTACCTACACAATTTCAGTGTCATGGGTGTGTTTATAAGATCAATGCATTTATTAGGATTAATCCATTATACCAACCATCTACCTAGAACTGATAAAAACAAGGATTAGGTCAAGTAAAAGGTCATCTTGCAACCCTTTGAAATGCACGTGGAGTACTGGAAGGAGGGAAGGACAGCAGTTATTGATGAATACACTCCTATACAGGCATGCATGTCAACTTACTTCCCTTTTGTTAACTGCTATGAACAATTGCCTAACACACACTTCTGAAAAAGCTAGTACCTTTGACCCCCTGCTCAGAACAACATTCCCCTTCTTTTCAGTTCTCACTTCCACCTCCTTTGCCTTGTAATAAGTTTTACTCTGCTGTTTGTGGCCGATGCACAATGAGCAGCAGCAGCCGCCAAAAGCAACAGAAAGGATGGTCTCTCAGGCTCCTCATTAAAAAAACAACAAAGGAACAAAGGAAACAGAGGCAATGGCACTCTGCCAGTATGAGACAGATCATTGCTGCACAGTAAGTAGTGGAAATTTTTTTGGCAGCACAACCATGTAAAAAAAGATGTTATATCCAAATGACTAAACCAAGTACAAAATGATTCACCTTCAGTGGCGAATATTAAAGTAGGGAAAAGGTAGAATAAATGAGAGCAAATAAAACACGAAGAAAAGTTCTGCAAAACCCATTTCACCGTTTGTAGCCAACATAATCCCAGAAGTAAAAACTTACAGTTTCCCTTCATTTAAAGTATTTGATATAATCTAAAAGTATACAATAAAAAACAGCATAATTTCAGTGAGTGCAATTCATCCCAGAATACTGAAGAACTAGGTATTATTACTATTATTAATATACAATACCTGTGAATCCAAGTCTTCTCCTTTCATGCAGAAGTTTGCATCTATGACATTCAATCCTACTAGGAGGCCAGCAATTATGTGACCTTCTTCTTCCATTATGAGAGCATTAGGTTCATAAAATTCACTGCCGGAAGCACCAAAAGAGAGTAAAAAGCGTTACAGCACTAAAAGCTTTAAAAACAAGCTGGAGTTTGAAGAGACAGCGGTAAATTGTTATAAGCCCTGTAACGTCCCTCCATGTTTTATGAAAATTGGCTTTTATATCTATCTAGCTAAATCAATATGCATAACTTGAAGATGCTTTATGTAAAACTGGTCATGGAACTTTAAAATTGATGTGCTACAATCTACTAAATCTGGTTAACCTATTTTTGTGCATATATAATTTTTGTATGTTAAGTTAGAAATATGAAGTATGAATCTGGTTTTAATTCTGAATGTGCTAATGAGGGCTATAAGGTATATGTTAGGAAACTAATGGAATAATGGCTCAGTACTCCAGCCAATGGCTTGTGAATAGTCTTATTTGTCCTATAAACTCAAACTGTGGTTGGTACCAGAAAGATGTGTGACTGTGCCACCTAGATCTGAAGTTCATCTTAAATCTGATCCTCTCTCCATGGAAAAGTGAGATTGAACAAAGGGTTCCCACCCTCGGTGGGTGGGTGGATGGGTGGAGGAGGGGCGGGAGGGAAGGGAAGTCTATTGAAGGAATGGAAAGCAATCAGTCTGTCTGCAGTTGACCTTTGAAACTGCCTTGTCCATCTTAAGAGAATACACATAAAGGAATCTGGCAATAAAGAACTCTGGAAAAAAAAAAAACTTAGACCCTGGCCAGAGTAATGATCAAGTCTGATTTGAAACATTATACCAGAGATAAAAACAGCTATTTAGGGAAATAATTTGCATTTAAGAAGTTTTTTAGAACTAGCTGGCATCTTTTCTTTATTTTAATTTAGAACAATATTTTGATCAGTCTATTTTCACTTGATTACGTAAATCCTACTTTTTATACCCAAACTTTGGTTTATCATCAAGCTCAGTGTAAATAATGTTTCCTAGGATGGGAGAGAAGCAATCATTGTGCATTTCTCTCTTTCACTGATAAAGGGGGCTGACCTTACGAGCTTTCTCTGTGTCAACTTTTACACAGGGTAAGATGGATTTATTTGGGGTTTTGGTCCTCTTTGGAGGCTGTGTTCCTGGATGCTGAGCCCTCCCAGAGTTGAGCTGGTTCTGGGTCTCTGTTGCTCTGCCGGGGTGGTGGTAACTCCATCTCTGCGCGTTGGCTGGGGAAGACCAGAGCTTCTGGCCTAGAACAGGGCGGTGGGGAGCACCAGAGGGATGGAAGCCAGGTCTCAGAGGCTTGATTAGCACACCAGGGGACAACCCCCACGTGGATTTCTGTGATCCATCCTGTCATGAGACCTATTACTCACTACACTCCTGCTCTGTGATTTTCTAAGACAACAATCAAGTGTTAACAGCCTCTCCTCGTACCTGCCTAGAAGGCTGGCTGCTAATGGACAATCAGTACATCAGCTATACCGACATGGCTCTATCAACATACGGCTGCTCTGGCCCAAGAGACAGATCTAGAAAGATGTAATATCACTATTTTTCAGTTAAATGCAAGAGAGTCATGAATGCTAAGCTAATACTTTAAAAAAATTACCTTACCCTAATGTCTCACTGTTATAAACCTCCCCTCTGACACTCTACCATCCTACAGTTCCCTAATGGTAAGTTTAAGCTCTCCCATCCCCATTCAAGATAGTTGAAAGAAGTAGAAAACGAATATTCATGAAGCCAAATATACTAACACCTTTAAAAAAAATATGCATGCAATTATATACTACTAATCACTTTTCATCCATAGATCTCAACACACTTTACAAGGTATCATTATGCTTAAATGGGGGTGCCTCCCCCCAGTAATTAGGGTGGGCAAACAGGCCTAATAACGGCACAGCCTGAACCTGGAGGGAGAACCAGGGATCAGGGATTGACCATAAGCTCAGCTGGGAAGGAAGAGGCAGGGCCTGTAAAGCTAGAAAGATGGCAACAGAGATGGGAAAAAGTCACTCCCTGGGAAAGAAGGGAGGCTGCAGAAATGTATAGCTAGCAGCTGGTCCCTGAGAGGAGGGAGTGATGAAACTGGCAGGCCTTGAGGGAAGGCAGAACAAGCCAAAACAAGAAGAGTAGGAGAAACCCAGAGAGTAAGCAGTAAGGCTGGGGACTGAGCAGACTGTGGCTGTGAGTTGTAGGGTCCTCTGGCTGGAACCCCGGCACTAGTAGGGCAGTGAATAAGAAGCCTGCCTGGGTCACTCAGAGAGACAGAGAAGCACGGACGGTTCTGTACCCTAGGAAGGGGGGAGGCAGGAACACTGAGTGGCCTAGCTTAGGGCTGAGCTAAGCAGAGGACGACACAGTTTCCTGGCGAAGAAAGGCACTGCAGACGAGACACCGACAGAGCAAACCACTGAAGGGGGTGTTGACCTCAAGCACTAATCCCCACAGAGACCATGAGGTGGTGCCTGACTGCTAGCCCTTCGACCTACACATTGGACAGCACTGCCTCCCCTCTGTACTGGGTCATTACTCTAATTACTTATGTTACAGCACCTTTTTATAATAAATGAAATGTGTGGCTCTTTTGCATGCTGATAATTGTGTGCAGATAATGGCTTTTGCATTGCAAAACAGAAAAAACCCATCACTCAAAACAACCCCTTCATTTCACCAATGCCACCTTCCCAAAACAGAAGTGCAAGTACAGCATTTATTTCAGTGTTGCAGAGTAACAAAAATGCCTTATAAAATATCCTTTGAGTGCAATGAACCTACATCCCCCAATAACAGTGGATGAAACGAAGCTCTCAGATTCAAGAGAAAGAATTGCTCACCTGAGAAGATCCTTTCTATTAATCAAAGCCTTCATATATTCTGAAAGTTTCTTCTGCATTAAGGCCAAGCGAAGCCAAGCTCTTCCTCTACCTGCAGGTGTCCTACCAAAGCCCAGAAACCAAACCAAGAAATTACTCACATATATTCACACAAACTCTTAGTACCTTACTCTGCAATCTACACCTCAACGCTGCAGTTTTCAGCAATTTCTGTAGGTAGAATTTTGGGTATGCAACCGCAAGTGCCCACATTACAGATGTAAGGGTGTGTCTACACTGAAGACTTAACTCAAAATAAGCTACGCAAACTGAGCTACATCAATTGAGTCAAAATAGCTTATTTCAACTTTTGGCGCTGTCTACACAGCAGTTATTTTGAGAGAGCGCGCTCTTCCCCCGACTTCCCTTACTGCTCGTACAAGGAGGGTTACAGGAGTCAAAGTAAGACGTCCTCCTGCTTGACAGGATTTTGACACTATTTTGAAATAACTGCCTGCAGTGTAGCCACGGACTATGTTATTTCGGAATAGTGCAGCAGTGTAGACGTACCCTAAGAGAGTACTCGACTACTCTACTTGCATTCCCCCCACCGCCACGAGGGCCCAGGACAAGCCAGCTGCTCCGGGGGCGGCTCAGCCGTAGCACTGCTCTCTACCCATCCCACGAGTCACGCTGGCCCCACTCCCCCAGGAGCCCTGCTCACAACCAGCAGGCAGGGAAGGGGCCGGAGCTGCCTGAGGCTGGGCCAGAGCCAAGGACTGAAGTCCAGGTGGGCAGAGTGTAGGAGCCAGGCAACCCCAGGCTGGGCTCGGGGAGATGCAAGCTAGCCGCACTGACTGGGCTGACACCACTCTGCAGGGTCTCCTGTGGCGAGCCGGGCTGATGCCACAGCTGGCACTGTGTGGAGCTCTGGGCTGGACACAGCAGGGGGCAGTGCCTTGGGGGCCAGGCTGCACCCTGCAGTCACCTGGGAGAAGGCTCTGGTGTGGCTGGGCTCTCTGCTCAGCTGGAGCAAGTCCAGGCTCGATGCTGAGTGCTGCGCACTGGTGGCAACAGCCTACTGGGCTTGGGGACAGGGGCCAGAGCCCACTCATTGCCAGGGCTTTGTCCTGGGCAGGCAGGCGCTGTGTGGTTCGGCCAGGTACACTGCAGCCCAAAGGGACAGTGCTCAGGTTGCAGCCCGGCCTCCACTGTCCGCCCGCCCTGGCCCTGTAATTCCCAGCCGGGCTCTGCCAGCCCCTGCCTGACTCAGGCAGTGCCAGGGTGCTGCTGCCCGGTCTGTTGGGCAGCCAGAGGGAGTTGCCCCCATGAAATGGCTTTGGCAGTTCACTCCATTGGGGCTAGAGGTGCAAATAGGCAGGTCAAGCGCCCCTCACCGACCCAGCGCTGCCTTCCCAGAGCCTGGCCCCCCTGCCCAGGAATGCGCACTTGCTGTGGTCCATCCTGCCCCCTCTCCCCCAGGCCCCAGATGGGAAGGTGGGGGTGGCTGTGGTGGTTAAATGAGATGCGCTGGGAAGCTGCGTCCCCAGTGAAACCCACCCGTGAGCTGTGGCAGTCCAGGAGCTACCCCCGCTGCTGCTCTGCACTTTAAACGTAGTAAGAGCTGAGCTGCCTGTAGTAAGCCCGGCTTGCTGTGGTCCATCCTGCCCCCTCTCCCCCAGGCCCCAGATGGGAAGGTGGGGGTGGCTGTGGTGGTTAAATGAGATGCGCTGGGAAGCTGCGTCCCCAGTGAAACCCACCCGTGAGCTGTGGCAGTCCAGGAGCTACCCCCGCTGCTGCTCTGCACTTTAAACGTAGTAAGAGCTGAGCTGCCTGTAGTAAGCCCGGATCTTACTACATTTAAGCTGCAGAGACGCAGCAGGAGTAGCTCCAGAAGCTTCCAAACCTATCGACTAATCGTGTAGTCGATAGAAACGCTACACAATTATCTGATTGCTCGTTACTTAACATCCCTAGCCCACATGCAGTGTTTATCCAGGCAATCATTTGACTTTTTCTTCTATTTCCCATCTTCCCTTTTTTCTCCTCTTGGCTGCTGTTTCTGCAAAGAGCTAGCAATACTTACCTATACAAAGATTATTAGAAATATGCAGAGAAATCGTGGGGCATGGTTTTAGAAATGGATCAAATGCAACTGTCATTGTAAGCAAGTTAATAAAGCAATTCGGCCACACTCATTATGGACTTTAACACAATTTGGGTGTCCAAATCTCTCTCACGTAGCCTATCCTCAGCCTGAAAAAGAGCTAAGTAGCAGAGTTGCAGTACTAATTAAAAACAATTCTCTTAATGCAGGGTTATGTTCTGAAAGTAACAAACAAGAATGTTTCATGGTTCTCTTTCACACATTCTTTCTTCCCCCATTTTAGCTGGCAGATGGAGCATACACAGTTTTAGAAATATAGAAACTGATAGGCTGGATCAGGACAGTGTCTCAGTGACCAACATGTCAAAAGAAGATTTAACTCCCTCATATCAACAGTAGCATGATTAAAGAGAAATTACCTTTCAGATTCCAGCACCTAATCAACTGGCTTGTATCTGTGGAGGACTTTGGTTTTTTCCATCTAAGCTTATAAAGTGTTGTTTTTAATGCTACAAAGGTCCAGAGCTCTGTAACATTTCATGGCAATGAATGCCATCAGTTTACATATGGACAAAGATTGAGATTTTTTGGTTAATTGGTTTTAATTTTGTCACCTTTTAATTTGGTCTGTCCCCCTGTTCTTTTATAAAAGAAAAGGATAAATAAAAGCTCCGTCTGGAGTCTAGACCGTATCTGCACATGCACCCCCATCCTACTGCTGTACTATGCAGGCAGACTCTGCACAGAGGTCCAGGGAAATCAGAGGACAAGACCTGACTAAGACATGCTGAGGCCCTGAGCTATGTCAGATTAAGGGCCCCATAGCATTACCAAACATGTATTATTTTAACAGAAAGAACAATGGAAATAGAAATAATAAAGTTTCATATTTGCATATATACCAGTACATAGGCGAGGATGCAAATAAAAACCTTTTTTTTTTTTTTTATTTAGAGGCCCCTCATAATCTGAGGCTCTAAATTGTAGCTTACTTGTCTGGTGCCTAAATCATGAGGCTCTATCCACTTAGAACAACTCTCAGGGTAAGAGGCTCAGCTATGAACACAGGAGACACTCTCCTGATACGATTTGTTATTCCACGTACCTCTGTCATATCCCCTATTCATCTCCACTCCTAATCAAGCAGTCTTAATCCTTAGTTCCTCCTCATGGTGAAGTTTCCTATGTCTCTGTTCATTTTTGTTGCACTTCTCTAGATATCTTGTTTCTGCTACATTCTTTTTGAAATGGGGAAGCAAAACTGAACGCAGTACCTAAGGTGGCTATTTAATATAGAAGTACTATATTTCCAGAATTACTCCGTCTCCCTAATGCAATCTAACATCTTGTTGTCCTTTTTGGTCACTACCAAGTCTTCCTTTTATTTAATTTTCCACCACTAACACCTTTATTTGTTTTGGTTAGAAGCTGTGGATAAAGCCCTGATAATTGTTTTCACTTTCATCTCTTACTTACAATGAAAGCTTGCAGTACTGAGTCAACAATGTAATGCTGTTGAAAAAAAAAATTGCAGAGGCATATCATGCAGGGTGGCCAACAAGGAGGGACAAAAAGGATAATTGCTCAGGGCCATGAGATTTAAAAGCTGCGCACCACCACTATGGCTACTGGAAGTTTAAATGACCTAGGAGCCCCGTACAGCACGGCACGGAGGGTTGGTTAGGGGAGGCTAGCCCCAGGAAGGCCCCTTCCAACAGAGGTGCTGCCCCTTCCAGAGTGAAGCTGAACTTTCTCCACCTTCCACATTGCTCAGGACATGGCCAAATCGGTCACCAGCCCTTTACTTGTCACTGGTCAAGGCACAGTCCTCCCACTGAGGCCAATTTTGGTCACCCATGTATAGAATTTGTGCAGAATTTGGAAAGGACAAAGAGGAAGGGAAAAAGATGAGCAACGGGATGGAAAGCCAGCAACACGAGCAAAGGCTGAAAGAACTGGGTATGTTTAGTTTGGAATAGAGGCGATTAAGGAGGGAACTATTTGAACTTTTTCACATATTTGAAAGACTTCAATAAAAAAAAAATTAGAGAAAAGTTGTTCTCTCTTGCCAAAGAAGCCAGGACATGAAACAGTGGGTTCAGATTACAGGTTTAGATTAAATTTCAGGAGAAACATCTTATGGTAAGAACAGTAGGACAATGGAACAAACTACTTAGTGAAGCCATGGAAGCACCTTCTCTGGAGGTTTCCAAAAGGAGATTAGAAAGCCCTCTGTCTTGGATGGTTTCGACTCAAGTAATCCTGCGTCTTGGCAGGGAGCTAGACTAGATGACCCTTGTGGTCCCTTCTAATCCTAGAATTCTAAGATTCTACCTGGAAAGCAATAGGTCAGAGACAGGTCTACAGTGCAATGAAACACCCATGGCGGCCGGTGTCAGCTGACTCAGGCTCGCAGGACTCAGGCTGTATGGCTATAAAGTTGCAACATTGATTTTCAAGCTCTGGCAGGAGCCCTTGCCCTGAAACCCTTCCCACTCGTGGAGGTCCCAGAGCCCAGGCCTCTGCCTGAACTACACCGCAATTTTATCGCACTGCAGCTGGAGCCCTGCAAGTCCAAGTCAGCTGACATAGGCCAGCCATGAATATTTTACAGAAGCAGCATAGACATACCCAGGATTTCACTTACTTAAGCCCCGGCAGATCTTTAACACTTGCTGTGATCTCTCCAGCTTCAGGAACAAGCTTCTCTACCAGCTCCAGAGGTCCCCAAAACGACTTATTTTGTCCAAGAAAAGTCTTCTTGGCTATAACAAGAAGATATAAATAGATTTTTAGTTTCTCTTGCATCAGTACGATTTTAAAAACATTCCCAAATGTATTCAAAGTGGAACTAAAAGTAGATGTGAGACTGGCCCTGGGTGTCTGGCCCGGTAAATAAAACAGATCTAGCTCTCCTATGCCCGTACAGAGGCTGCATTTGACAAATTAAGAGGGCAAGCAACAACTGGGGGCTGTAAGACCAGGGAAAGCCCTGATCAGAGTAATTCAGGAGACTGGAGAAGGTCTCTGAGAAAAGCCACAGAGAGCACAAAGCTGCCCACAGCCAAGGATGTAAAACCCTGTTTAATCAGTTAACCATTAAACGTTACCTTTAGCTGGTTAACTGCTTAACTGGGATCCAATGGGCATGGAGCCCGGTCAGGCTGGAGCAGCCCCACTCACAGCGCAGGCAGGGATATGCTCCAGCTCAGCCAAGCCTGCTGAGTTGTGGGTTGCTTCATCCAGGCAAGGCAGAGCTTGCCACAGTGGGGTGGATGCCATGGCCAGTCCCACTGCACCACTGGCAGAGGGTGGTTCCAGCCTGGCCAAACTGCTGGTTAACTAGTTATCAGTAATCACCACCCAATATGGGGAATGCTTACCAGTTTACTGGTTACAGCCCTACCTGCAGGCCCTCCTTGGAAAGGAGGAGGAGAAATTGGCTAAGAGACAGTATGGCTAAGAGACAGTATGGTCTGCAGAAAAGGACCTGGGGATTACAGTGGATGAGAAGCTGGACATGAGTCAATAGTGTGCCCTAGTAGCCAAGAAGGCAAATAGAATATTAGGGCGCATTAGGAGGAGCATTGCCAGTAGATCCAGAGAAGTGATTATTCCCCTTTATTCGGTTCTGGTGAGGTCACATCTGGAGTATTGTGTCCAGTTCTGGGCACCCCAATACAGAAAAGATGTGAATTCACTGGAGAGCATCCAGCGGAGGGCAACAAAAATGATGAGGGAGCTGGAGCACATGACCTATGAGGAGAGGCTGAGGGATTTGGGCTTATTTAGTCTGCAGAAGAGAAGAGTGAGGGGGGATTGGATAGCAGCCTTCAACTTCCTGAAGGGAAGTACCAAAGAGAGTGGAGAGAGGCTGCTCTCAGTGGCGACAGGTGGCAGAACAAGGAGCAATGGTCTCAAGTTACAGTGGGGGAGGTCTAGGTTGGATATTAGGAAAAACTATTTCCCTAGGAGGGTAGTGAAGCCCTGGAATGGGTTACCTAGGGAGGGGGTGGAATCTCCATCCCTAGAGGTTTGACAAAGCCCTGGCTGGGATGACTGAGTTGGGGTTGGTCCTGCGTTGGGCAGGGGGTTGGACTCAATGACCTTCCAAGGTTTCTGCCAGTCCTGGGATTCTATGATTCCAAGGCTGAAGGTGGGAGAGCAGCAAAAGAGATGTCTTGAGCCAGCACTGGAAGAGGCTGAAGCAGAGGGAGCAGCAAAGGGAGCTGTCTGCTATCTCTAAACCAGTTGGGGTGATAGCAGGGTTGCACATCAGTTGCAATGGCTCTGCAGCATCTCCAGTGCCCAATACCTGGATCCAGAGGAACCATGATGGGGCCTGGGGAGTAAGAGATGCTCTCCTTGTAAAGATGCTCCCAGCACAGATGCTGTGGGGGTTCCCACTGGGAAGACAGGTTGCACACCAGTTGGAAGGGCTTTGGGAAGAATGCTGGAGCTGGATACTGAATGAACCATTTGGACTGTGCTGGGAAAATTTGGACTGTGGTTATGGGACCTTTGTTATGATTTATGTATATGGAACTTTTTTAATAATGAGTTCCACAATGGGTCTATTTATACTTAGGAGGATGCTGGACCTAAGTTCCCTGCAAGCTGCGTGCCTGCACAGTCGCATAGCTGTTTGCTGAGCTCCACCCAGAAGCTCAAAGCTCCCATGCAGGCAGGGAGCTCAGCTGACCAGCAGGGGGCATAGCGTTGTCTCGCTGATCAAGCAGATAAACAGCTGCTTAAAATGGAGCAGCTCCCAGAGCAGGAAAAGGGAGATGAGGGAGGGAGGAAGTAAGTAAGTAATTAATTGGCTAATGAAAAGTCAAAAAGGAGGGGAATTTGGAGAATCCCTTCTATGTAAGGAGACAGAGACAGAAATTCAGTGCTCTCAAGCCTCCTGGGAAGGGGGAGGTAAGAGGCTAACTGCATGGGCTATGTGGGGGAAGAGGGTAGGTGGGTGAAGGCATCTGTGCAGTGAGGTGGAGGCAGGGGGCAGCTTGTTTGGGATGCAGCAATTCACTTGCTGCAATCCTCTCTGTCTGGGCTGGGCGAGGGGGAGGGGAGAAAGCAGGTTACATGAGGAGTGTGTGCACGCATGTACCTGGAGGACATTTGCATGATTACATTTCAATCAAAATTTACATAGATGTTAATGGCTTAAGATAAGAAAGAATAAAATTCTTTCAACAGAATTTTTTGGAGTGTAGCAGATATCTAAAACTCTGATCTTAATGATTTTTTTTAAATCCTGTGTTACTAATTCATACAGGGTATATTGTATTGCATTAAGGCCAGATCTTTGCTATGTGGTAGAGTTCTGGCTCTAATGAGTCAGAAGTAGCAAGTACTAACTAGCTTGAACTGTTAGAAAAGCTGATACATATACTCCAAGGGTAGCGTTTTTTTTTTTTTAATCTTATTTCATATTAAATATTGTAACCATTGCTCCTTGTTAAATATCCCTTGTTTGGATATATTTTTCCACACATATGGACTACTTAAAATATATATATGCGTGTGTGTGTGTGTGTATATATTGGTGGTGCACATCCACACGTTTGGCCACCCGCCTCTCCCAATATTGGTAGTGCACACAAGAAATCTCAACCCACCCAAGGGCAGAAAATGTTAAAGGGAACACTGCTCTAGACAGGGAAGGGAAGAACTGCGACAAGTACAGAACTTTAAAAAGTTCTGTTTCCAGAATTATTACCAACAATACTCTCCTGCAATTTATATATAACTTCCTGTAAACAGTTGTGTTCAGGGATAGATTCAGAAACTGCAAATTACACACTGGACAAGGAGCAAGTACGGCTGACTATTTTTTCTGTTTTCAAGCATAAGAGATACTGATATCCCATATGTATAAGGACACTGCACTTGCTCAGGGCTTGAAACAGACACACACTGGGCAAAGACGGATCTAGCTACCGGGCTAGAATTTCTACCAGGATGATGTCAGGGGACTTTCTTCAGGGTGTCAGGTCGGGTGTCATCTGTCAGATCAGCATCTTGCTAGTAACAGCTCCATCCTCTCTAGCCACAGGATGAGAGAAGGCTTGTCTCTTTACATGACTGTGCAGCCGCCAATGTTCCTTCAAGAGCATAAGATCTTCACCCTTCCCATAGCCTCTCCCCAAAGCCTGCCTCCACTCTTGCTCATAGCTTTCTCAGGCAGCAGCAACATGCAATTAATTTGGTTGACAATTTCACAACAATTCCTGACATTATGAACAGCAGCAGTGAAAATTATTCAAAATTAGTTAGTGCCAAAGATATAGAAAGCACTTGAAGCAGGGGAGCCATCTTTCCCTCTGAGTTAGGTAGCCAAGTTAGGTAGTTATGCTCTGAATAACATTCTGGTAACTTCTGGACAGTTATTACAACTATAACTACCATAAACTAATTTGTTTTGTTTCTAACTTGAAAGCAGAAGTTAATGGCTTAGACATTCACACTCATGACTGAAATTTTTTCACTCGCTGTTGATTAGAGAAGATAATTTTTCTAAACTTACACTGAAGCACCACTTTGAAATGCTGATGTTACTCCACTGTCGCAAATAAGCAAAACTAATACCACAAGCAAACTGCCTCTACAGCCTGCATAAAAATTACTAATTTAGTAAGTATCACTGAAAGCTACTAAAATAGCATTGCAGGAGGTACTTATAGAAGCCATAGGGAATTTACACAACCTCTCATTGATTTTTCAAAACAACTGCAGTTTTTGTTTCAAGAAAGCAGTATTTTACAAAGGCAGTAAAAACCAGTGAAGACTAACGTGTCAACTTTTGATTGATGTTATAATCTGTATATGTAAATACACACTGCTGGCCCATTCTGAAAAGTGCACTTCAGATTTAAGCCATGGGATAAGAGGGAAGGTCCTTTCTTGGATTGAGAACTGGTTAAAAGACAGGAAACAAAGGGTAGGAATAAATGGTAAAATTTCAGATTGGAGGGGGTAACTAGTGGTGTCCCCCAAGGGTCAGTCCTGGGACCAATCCTTTTCAACTTATTCATAAATGATCTGGAGAAAGGGGTAAGCAGTGAGGTAGTAAAGTTTGCAGATGATACCAAACTGTTTAGGATAGTCAAGACAGAAGCAGACTGTGAGGGACTTCAAGAAGATCTCACCAAACTCAGTGATTGGGCAGCAAAATGGCAAATGAAATTTAATGTGGATAAGTGTAAAGTAATGCACATTGGGAAAAATAACCCCAACTATACATACAGTATGATGGGGGCTAATTTGGCTACGACAAATCAGGAAAGGGATCTTGGAGTTATCCTGGACAGTTCTCTGAAAACTTCCACACAGTGTGCAGCGGCGGTCAAAAAGGCAAATAGGATGCTAGGAATTATTAGGAAAGGGATAGAAAATAAGACACAGAATATCTTACTGCCCCTGTTTAAAACTATGGTACGCCCACATCTTGAATACTGTGTACAGATGTGGTCTCCTCACCTCAAAAAAGATATTTTGGTCTTGGAAAGGGTTCAGAAAAGGGCAACTAAAATGATTAGGGGTTTGGAACGGGTCCCATATGAGGAGAGGTTAAAGCGACTGGGACTTTTCAGTTTAGAAAAGAGGAGACTGAGGGGGGATATGATAGAGGTCTATAAAATCATGAGTGGTATGGAGAGGGCCGATAAAGAAAAGTTATTTATTAGTTCCATAAATAGAAGAACTAGAGGACACCAAATGAAATTAATGGGGAGCAGGTTTAAAACTAATAAAAGAAAGTTCTTCTTCACACAGCGTGTTGTCAACCTGTGGAACTCCTTGCCAGAGGAGGCTGTGAAGGCTAGGACTATAATAGAGTTTAAGGAGAAGCTAGATAATTTCATGAAGGTTAGGTCCATAAAAGGCTATTAGCCAGGGGATAAAATGGTGTCCTTGGCCTCTGTTTGTCAGAGGCTGGAGAGAGATGGCAGTAGACAAATCGCTTGATCATTGTCTTTTGTCCACCCTCTCTGGGGCACCTGGGGCTGGCCACTGTCGGTAGACAGGATACTGCGCTAGAAGGACCTTTGGTCTGACCCAGTACGGCCGTTCTTATGTTCTTATGTAAATATAACAAAATGAATGATAAAAACTCATAATGCTACCGTAAGCAAGAGGAACAACATTACAGTTTTAATGCATGAAGAGGAACAGAAAGCTAGGAATTAAGTTTGCTGAGCAAGTAATTTCCCCACCAAGCATCCAGCCACAGTTCCTAGCCAACAGTATTCAATCTACAGTTGACAAAAACGATGTAAAAATTACAGCAATAATCTGTGAAAGTTAACCCTGCACACTTCTAACAGATGGTTATGTCCATGAGCAGATTTTTCTCGATTCATGTCCCAGGTCAACCAAAATCAAAATGAACTTTGTTCATTGTTCCAAGATTATATTTAAAATCAGGCCAGAGAGGCTGGGCATCCCAGTGTAATGGTCTTTTCTGTGGGACTCCCTGCATGAAAGGGAAGTAAAAAATCTCTCTCGGGTTCAGAGGGGCAAAAAGATATACAGTAGGTTGAATCTCCGAGGTCTGGCACCCTCAGGAGCTAGTTTTGCCAGACTAGGGGAAGTCAACTGTAGCCTCCCACTGCCACCAGCCCCCTCTCTGGCCCCACAGCCTCCCACCGCCACGATGCCCATCAGCCCCAGTACCACTACATGTGGGACTCCCATTGCCCTGCCATGCATTGGGTTCCCAAGCATTAGCACTAGATCTTCATCCAGACTCTCCGGTCCTCCAACATCCATGGTCCTGCCAGACCACAGAATTTCAACCTGTAGCATAAAGCCACCTCATCTCCCTTGTGACTGAGTAGATACCATATAGGACAGAGCTATAAGCAGGGCTCGACAAATAATACAATCTACTCGCCCGTAGCGAGTAGATTGTAACACGGAAGAGCCGTGTTCGGGCGATCTGCACATGCGCAGAACGATCTACACATGTGCAGATCGCCGGACAGCGCGGTTGGCAAACGGGGCTCGCCGCGGTTCGACGAGCCCTGACTATAAGGAATGCATCAACATGCCAAAACTCTACAACACGTGACATTCTGAAGTCACTTTCTTTCACGCTATAACTTTGTATGACCCCAGTCCTTATACTTCTTAAGGAACAGGTTTTATTATTAAAATAAGTATCTGAAGGGAATGATTAATTTATCACATAGGATGCAATGTGCAATTCCAGCAGGATGATACTGTTATTTACCTATAAAACTGGTACAGTTATTTTAATGACATCGCTTAAGAAAAATGTAATGGTATATTTTGTCTTATTTAGTCTAATTTGGTACAGATGTGTTAGATTTAAAAAACACCACACTTGTCCTTGGCATTCACATCCCCTATACACAACCCCAGAGAAGCCAGGTAAGCATCTTCTATAACACTCTTACCTTTCAAGCCATGTTTAAGGCAGTGTTCCATCACTACAAAGAACTGCTGAAGAGGTGCATAGTCAGAGTCCAGTGTTCTGCCCAGGTTAAGCGCCGATTCAATCAATCCCTTTATGCTCAGTTTGGCCATATTCATCAGATTCATACGCTCATTAGCCATAAGATAATTAGGATCTGTAAGAAACCAAGAGACAGAATTTGGTAACCAGAGTTAGCTGAAATGCATCATCCATTTCCAGTCTTCAAAACAAAAGAATTTAAGGACTACATTTTTCAAGCAGCAGCGGCTCAATTTAACCTGAGGCACATGGTTCAGGCCTTTGCTTTTCGTAAGGAAAATTTTCTATAACAGAACCTATCAAAAGCTTTTTTAAAGGTGGAAAACTATATATTACAGACAGGAAGATAACCAGGCGCACACAGATACTGCCCTGATATTTAATTAGTTAAACAAATCTTAACAGGAACAATGTTGGAAGGCATTCATTAATACCTTCGTTAATGTCTTATATAGCATTACTGAATGTCATGAAAATGTCACTTGCTCTGAAGACTCATAATCTGGCAGGAGGTTGTACTTTTGTTGCATCCAGAGAAAAATGAATAAAAGATGGGCAGACAATTAAATGCCCAAGGAAGGTTGTCATTTGCTTTTCTCTTACAGACAAAGAACTCTAAACTCAACTCAGAAACTTTAAGTGAAACACACACATACAGGAGAATGAGTCTTTAAAAAACAAACAAAATATTATATATACACAAAACAGGAACAACAAGGCCCTCAGTGCGGTACTATGCTGATCCTTCTAGCTCTAGTTTGAGCCCACAGTGAATAACTGAAAGCACCACAGAGCTGACACTTTAAAATTTTGCTGTGAGCACTGCTGATATTTGTAAACATAATCCCCTTCAGGATTTATCCACCATCCTACATTTTCTCTCACACCTCCAACTCTGATGTAGTTCATTCAACTGCAACACACCCAAAGGTGAGCTGCTTCCCACTCAAATTGTTTCCATTACACCACTATTACTAACACGCATCTTTCTTGTGCCCACCGACTAGTCCAACTGCAGATAATCTCCAGGGCCTGCTTTCCTTTGTCACTGCACTCAGGCCTTTTCTTCTGTCTAAGACAGTTCTGGAACAATCTTCCAAGAGGAGCAATGGACCAAAAAACCAAACTGGCTTCAAGACGGAGTTTGATAAGTTTAAGGTGGAGATGGTGTAATGGGACTGCCTACAATGCCATTGGTGACTGCCAGTAGCAAAAATCCCCAACCTTGTGGGTATTGGTCACTAGAAGGGCCACAGAGAATTCTCCCCCAGGTATATGCCTGGTAGGTCTTACCTACATGTTCAATGTCTAATGAACTGCCATATTTGAGGTTTTAAAAGCATCTTCCCCATGGTCAGACTGGCAGAGATTCGGGGGGAGGGGAGGAGAAGAGGAGGAGGAGTTGCCTTCATCTGCAGCATGCGTCATGGGTTATTTGCCCAGTTCTCTGTCCTAGGTCACAACTGCCTCCTTCACCCAAACTCCCTCCAAGACTCCAGTCTCCCTCCTGCACCCCAATCCCTTACCCCAAGCTCCCTTCTGCACCCAGCCTCCATCCCAGACCCCACACCTCCTCCATTAATACCGTGGAAGAGTGCGGCCCTCAACCACTTCCTAAAAATTATTGCCCACCCCCTTCAAAAATTATTGCTCACCCCTGATTTAGAAGCACAAGAAGAACAGGATGCATGCATGGTCCTAATGGCCACTACTATTAAAGCCTGGATTCACACTTTCACACTTTCAGCTGTCTTCACACTGAGGATATGTCTACACTACAAAGTTAATTCGAACTAACAGACTAACAGACTAGCGGAGCACTTAATTCGAACTAGGTAAACCTCATTCTACAAGGACTAACGCCTAGTTCGAATTAAGTAGTTCGAATTAAGGGCTGTGTAGCCACTTAATTCGAACTAGTGGGAGGCTAGCCCTCCCCAGCTTGCCCTGGTGGCCACTCTGGGCACCACCAGGCAAACTCTTTTGCCCCCCTGCCGGCCCCGGAGCCCTTAAAAAGGCACAGTCTGGCTACGGTGCCCATGCCAGGTGCAAGCCCGCCAGCACCCAGCCAGCAGACCCTGCACCTGGCACAGCACGAACCAGCCACCTGCTGCCACCCAGCCCTCTGCCTCTTCCTGGGACCAGGCTGGCAGCTCCCAGGAGCCTGCCTGGGGCCGCAAGAGGCGGGTGCCCGTCTGGTCTAGCGGGGAGATCGTGGACCTCATCCACGACCTCCGCACTAGGAACAGAAAAGTGGCCATCTAGGGCAGGATAGCTGCCAGCCTGGCCACCCAGGAGCAGGTTTGCATGAAAATCAAGGTGGTCCAGTGAGACCCCCGACCCTGAGC